CCGTCCCGGGCGTCGGGTACCGTTTCCGAGCCTAGGCCTGGACCGGGAATGAAAGCGGGGCGGTTCCGGGACTCGAATTTGGTGACCCGGCCTGGCCGGGTCGCGCCCGGGTCCGAGCCTAATTGCTACGATTTTTTTAATAAACAGGCATATAGCCGTTGGAGGAGCTCTCAAACGGCTCTATAGCTATTGGGAGCAAGGGGGGTGTCTCGGGGGTGGGGTGGGGTGGGGTGAGGGAGTGGGGGGGGGGGGGGGGCAAATTTTCTATAAATACCTATTCATTTCATTTTTTTACACAATTCATTTTTTCTACTCTCTTATTCTCTATCAACTACTATATTCATCAATTTCATCATCTTCATCTATTACTCTTCTCCACTTTCTTGATTATTATTAATATTCTTATTATTTCTAATATTATATATTGTATTTAAATTTTCATATATAATTATACTATTAATTAATAGTAGTATTGTTATATACTTATATTAGTAATTTCCTATTACTATCGTGATATTAATACTACTAATATACTTAGTAATTTATATTAGTTTTCTATTAATATACTTATATATTATATACTATAAACATTATATTATATATTAGTTATACAATTATTACATCTACTAATATAGTTATTATCTACTTATAAGTTATAACTACATATACTATCTACTTATTATATAGTTGTTATTTACTTATTGTTGAGGGTAAGTCTCGTAGATCCGAAAGCCCAACACGAACTTTGGATATATCAGGAATGGCCCAGAATCAAAGCGTGTAAAAAATATAAGATCTGAACTAACTAAAACTCGAAAGCTCACATGTATTAATTAACCAATCTGATTACAAGGAATTTCCCGATCGGTATGTCGGAAACTATGCTTAAATACAAGAAATAAGAGCAAATGATGCTATTCTAGAGCTTGAGTATTGAAATGCTAACCCTTACAATGACTTGAAACATTCTATTTATACTAATGGAGAGCATGGGCTGCCTCTTGCTGATTGGCCGTTGTTCCACCGACTTGGTCATCCATGCTTCCACTTGCTGATGTCATAGTCTGGCATTAATTGCACCTGGCCACTTGCTGATTGGCCGTTGCTCGAACGGGATGTCGGGCTGTACTGAAGATGCTGTAAAATTGGCCCAAGTATGATATATAGTCCGAACTCCGTTCGGTATGTCTTCTGACTGGGCCAACCTTTGTTTGGGCCGAACTCCGTTCGGTATCTCTTCTTACTGGATCTATTCATCATAGAGTGATGGGCCCGTTGCTTGGGCCGGATATCTTGGCCCTTCCCGATCTGGGTATTGGGCCTCTAGGTCAATATCCCAACACTTATATTTACTTATATTACATCTAATTAATATATTAAGTATATATAAATATTAAAGTATTAAATATAAGTGTACTACTCATGTTATAGTAGTATACTTATATATTCTATTACTCCTCTAAATTAGTATACACATTCATACATTTTTCCTATTACTTACTCATCCTAGTTACATTTGTCATTAAAAGTAGTTCATTACTTAATTGTTACATTTGTCATTAAAGTTTTTATTAAATTAATTTGAATTTTTAGATGTGATTAATTAGTTAGAATTTTTAGTTCTTAAATTGTTACATTTAAGTATTTATTAAATTAGTAGTTCGAAAGTAGTTCTTAAATTGTTACTTAGTATTTATTAAGTATTTACAAAAAAAGTAGTTCCAAAAAATTATTTTAGTGAATTTTATTTAAAAAAAATAGTTCGAATTTTATTAATATAGTTACACATTCATACATTTTTTATTAATATTAGTTAAGTAGTTGTTAATTTAGTGAGTTTTATTTTTTAAAAAAAGTTCGAATTTTTTCATTAAACATTTAAAGTAGTTAGATTTTTTCATTAACAATTGTATTAATATTAACATATTTGTTAGAATTTAATATTTGTTACATTTTTAAGATGCCTATCGGCGCTATCGTATATTTGTACTAATTATATGTATGTTATGTTGGGGTTAACAACATATTTGAGCTTTATACGTTTAAGTCTTTTCTTGGATTAAAAAAAATGGGTAACCTCAACCGCAACCGAAAGAAGGAGATTGCGAGGAATCATCCTAGTTCACGCAAAGGTAAAGGACGGACTGAGTCTTCTTCTCAAACCCGAGATGATTTTGAAATGGATTACCAACGGAGAGATGCGCATGTCCGACGAGCAACTACAACAACTATTGGACCAACAACATGGGCGCTTTTTCCAAAAACAAGACATCCCAAGAACCATTGACGAAGAAGAGCTCGAGGATGAGGATGCAGAGGAGGGCGATCCGGCGACGGGCAAGGAGGAGGGCGATCCGGAGACCCACGACGAGGAGCCTGGTTCATCCCAACCTGGTAAGAATGGTAAATCTGAAATTATGGAAAATAATTTTGCAAAGTGGAAAGACCCAAAAACCGAGAAATGGTACGTAACTTGCAACCATTGCAAGAAAGATGTTAGCTTGGGAATTTCACAAGGATACGGTAGCGCCGATAGGCATCTAAAGGCCCGTCACCCGTGGAGTATGTGAAAACAAGCAAACGCATGGGGAAGCAAACTCAAATATCAAGGTTTGCACATAGCCAACCCTTTGGTAATTTCTCTTATGATGATTCCAGATATTTGAGTGGTATGTCTAATTTAATTGTTGAAGAAAATTTGCCTTTTATTTTTTCTAATAGTCTTGCTTTAAAAGAATATGTTCAAGGTACTTTAAATCCTCAATTTCGAAATATAGTCACAAAACGATTAAAAAAAGAAGTTATAAGGCTTTATGGTTTGGAAAAGGCAAGATTACAAAAAAAATTCGCAAACTTTGATGGGCGTGTTAGTATTTGTAGTGATATATGAGAGGATATTTATCATAATTTGTATTATTTGGGTGTTACTGCACATTATATTGATGATGATTAGAAAATGCATAAACGTGTTCTTGCTTTTCGTGAATTTAATGATAGACACATCGCTGATAATATTTATATTCTCATTGAGCGTATTTTGATTTAGTATAATTTGACTGATAAGGTGTTTGATGTTGGTTTTGATAATGCTAGTAATAATACTGCTGGTATACCTAGATTGCGTGAATTGTGTGATTCTTCTACTTTGATGGGTATATTTTTTCATTAACGATGTGCATGTCATATTCTCAATTTATGTGTGAAAGACGGGCTAACCGCGTTAGGAAATGCTTTGGAGATAGTGAAGGGGGGAATTAGATTAATTTGGGCTAGTGGTCAACTTAAATTACAATGACAAAATTTTTTGAGAGAAAGACGTGTGAAATATTGTGCTTTTCCCAAAGATTTGTCTATTCGCTGGAATAGTACTTATAAATTAATTAAAGTACTTGTTAGATTTAAAGATCATTTTCCTGCTTTTTTAAAAGAATATGCTAACTATATTATAAACCCAGCTGACATCGACACTTGCGAAAAAATTGTAAATGTTTTGGTATTTTTTAACAATGCAACTGAAATTTTTAGTCATGTTTATACACCTACCTCAAAACATTTTTTTCGTGAACTTGTTAATCTCGCCGGTGTTTTTTGTGAATTTTCCGAAGTCCCTTACGTGAGTTATTTTTGTGAATACATGAAATAAAAGTTTTTAAAATATTATTCACATATTCCGCATATTTATAGTATTGCATTTATTCTGGATCCTCATTATAAACTTAGTGCTTTTCAACAATGTTTAGATTACTATTCCAGCGAATAGACAAATCTTTGGGAAAAGCAAAATATTTCACACGTCTTTCTCTCAAAAAATTTTGTCATTGTAATTTAAGTTGACCACTAGCCCAAATTAATCTAATTCCCCCCTTCACTATCTCCAAAGCATTTCCTAACGCGGTTAGCCCGTCTTTCACACATAAATTGAGAATATGACATGCACATCGTTGATGAAAAAATATACCCATCAAAGTAAAATCATTTTTTAAATTAACATTTGGCAATCTTATGAAAAAAGTAAATCAACTCCCGTTGTTGAACAAAACTCAGTTAACGAGCATTCTTTGTATCTAACATTTCCTCTTGACTTTGAAGAAGATGATGACTTTGACGTTCTAAAGTGGTGGAAGGATAAAGAAAGAATGTTCCCGATTTTATCAAAGTGGCTAAGCAAGTGTTATCAATGCCGGTTTCAACAGTTGCCGTGGAACAAGAATTTAGTGCGACCGGCAACGTTCTAACGGATTATAGAACGAGATTGAGCGCAAACTCTCTTGAGACGCTTGTTTGCTAACATGATTGGTTAAAGGCCCAACGTAGAACTCAAGAACTTAGCATCACCCACATCCAACACTTTATGGAGGAAACAACAAGTGACGATGGCGGAGATTCCGATTGATCATTTGATTATTATTTATCACTTTATTACCCAACACTTTACACTTCATGTTTTAATTTTTTACCTAATTCTCAATTGTAGACTTGTAGTTCATATATCAAATAATAATATACGTTCAGTTTTTTGTATGTAGCACTTCTTGATTTAATTTCTTAAACCAAAAAAATGACCCGACCCGTCTGGCCCGCTACCCGGGCAAGTAGCCCGGCCCGAACAAGTACCGCCGGACACCCGAGCCGGTCCCGAGCTTCCTTCCAAAACCAAAAGCCCGGCCAAGCCCGATCCATCACTAACTGGTCAACCGGAAGCAGGTTAAGGTTGCTTTAAACTGTTTTTCACTTTTTCTATTACACAAAAAGTACTTATTTTATCAAACACTGCCAACTTTTATTTTTTCAGAATCATTTTTTTCTCAAACACTACCAACTTTTATTATTAAGCACTTCTTCCAAAATCACTTAAAAAACACTTTTTTTAAAGTAGAAGCCATCGCAAAAACTCTCTAATTCAGAATAGATGAAGTAACATTTGTTAATGCATTAATAACCAAATTGGTCATTCAAAGGTTAAGCACTTAAGCCTAGAGATGAGCCAAAGTAATAATGATGTCTCATTTTTACCACATTAGTGGCTCATGACGAAAAGTTGCATAGAACAAGCAGTTTGCATACAATGATGAACAAGGGTCAATCACACCGAACTACATACACCAATGTATTATTGAAAATGCATCATAACTATCTTATGAGTGGGGTGAATCAAGAGAATAAAAGCGCAGTTGGGAAGGACAAAGAACTAAGTAGTAGTAAAATACAAAGTGTACTTTAAAAAAATAACATAGGCTAAATTGGCCATCATTCTTGTAGTTACTCTGTTTTACATCCTATATATGGATGAATAACATAGTCTCTAGATTCTCTGATATTTAGAAATCAGTCTCTTGTAATGAGATACCGTACAAATAATGTTCAGCGAACATCATATATCTTTGAGGGAACCAATTGCAAATTGTGATAATTGGGAGACCTGATCCAAGAGTGACCGATGATAGCCAAAACCGATTCTTGATTATCTTATGTCATTTGTGTGTTAGACAGAGATGTTCACATCCGAATCACCAAAGCTTCTTTCTCACCCAGAGTAGGAGGAAAACAACTCCAAGGACAACAGCTACTGGGGCCCATTTCCGAATTAAAGCCTTATATCATATAAGAAATAGAAGCTGTTTAATGTGTTACACCGATGCAAATATAACCTATTTTGATTATTCATCCCTGTATTTTTTATGTTGTTTTCTTTTTTGACCCCCTACCATAAAATAAAATGAAACTGGTGTGGCCCATGACATAAGATCAATGTTAACTCTCCCCGACACTTCTGAGATAAAATTTTAAACATCTTTCTGATAAAAATGATGTGGAACATCCGAGCTGGAATTCTATGAGCAACATCAGTTTGTTTTAAGATACAAGTTGATAGAGAATGATTAAAAAGAAAAAGTTGTAGATTTTAAGGATAAGTTTCAAAAAATAATAGGTAATTGTACAGAGAACTGCAACAAAAAATGAGACATTCGCAGATTAAAATTAACCTGGCGATTCAAATCTTTTGCTTTATCAGCATAAATGCGAGATTCTGATGTTAAGCGGCTGGACATTTCACTAACCTCTGCAGAAGTAAAGTCATATGGTAGCAATTAAAAGAATTACTGTAATATTATTAAGCAAAAAACAAATAATGAACAGTCCCTATATCGTAAAACTTTTGCCTTCAAACAATTATTAACTTACGGTCCAACTTTTCACCAACACCGAGAACCTCTTGTACATTCCGAGTCATTATTTGATGAACTTCATAAAGTTCATCATTCAACTTTGTGATGTTGCGCTGTGTTCTTGTGTCCTGATAAAGTTTCTTTGTCTTTTGAATAAATGCATCTTTAATCAAATTCAGAAAGAGGAAGATCAATACCATTCCAAAGATAACTATATTGATATAACCACAAAAATTACTATAGGGTCTTATCAGTTATTACCAAATTTAATAAAAGCGTAAGGTCTAGCAGCAGTTTCAATTTGATTCCCATTGACCGTCTCAAATTCATTTTTAAGGTCTTCCAGATATTGAAAGGCAAGCTTCTTAGGATAAGAACGCTCGCACATTGTTAAGTAACAAACACGTCCTTCAATTATATAACTGAAAATCTATGTTAAGAAAACACTACAGAAACATCATATTTTTACAAGACAAATTGAGATGACTCTTCCAAACAAGTAAGACATTAGCAGACGTACATATAAGCCTCAAACCAAACCAATGCTGAATGTCAAGAAATTGAAACATACATGAGCAGACATACATATAACCTGAAACCAAACCTTATTGTTGAATTTCAAGAAATTGAAAAATACATGAGCACAGAACAATATGCTAAAGAAAATGCATTGGTGAATTCTATTTCGGAAGAGGCTGTTTGAATGGAAGCTCTGGGGGCAGGACTTGGGAAAGCTTGGTCTATATCTTGTGATATATTTATAATATGTGATCGTGTGACACATTTCAATCACCTTTTATTCAGTTCAAAAACATTGTATTTATCAAGATATCTACTAAAGCCCCCAAAGCTTCCCCCTCCAAAACATGCCATCCAAACAGTTCCAAAGAGATACCTATTATCAAAAGTGTGACTACTGATTAGAGAGCCCATAAGCATATAATTCACTCATTAAAAATCTTGAAACAATAATAATTGAAGGGATGTTAGCATTATTAAATAAACAATTCACCTAAACAAGCAACTTATGGAAATGCCAACTGCCATAATACAATGTCACTCCAATTCACCACATCGTCATCATCACCACTGTCTACCTTAATCCCAAGTTCCCAACTACACCCGTAATGAACTAATGACACAAAAGTATCAGGGAGTTATTAAAAAAGGAGAGTTTACTCCACAAAGGATACTGGAATATGTACGGGCCAGTCTCAATGGACATTCTAGAAGGACCATTATTGCCGCGTGAAAGGTTCTTGAACAAACTTTTGACCTGCTGTTTGTACCTCTCCACTTCCGGCACATCACGCCCATCATCCAATCCCTCAACTAAAAGGAGGCCATCAGTCACACGGGCAATCATTGTCAGTTTCACCATCTTTCCTTCACAAGATCAAAGCTACAAACAAGAAGGATGAAAGAACATTTAACAGAAGTGTACCAGAGGCTTGTTGTGGGGCTCAAAGAGCCGGTGGTGATACCAGACCAACTCCACCAAACACATCCATTTCTGAAAAGGCAGTATCTCTATCTCTCTATATAAAAGCTGGACCGCTTGGGATAACTGTTCCCGCCTGAAAATGATGACATCGCTATGACATCATCGTGGTGTCATCACGGGATGATGTGACACGTGCTTGCAGTTGGTCTGCAGATTTTGGCTCTCCTCCGTACGAAGGCAACACTGCCAGCGTATTGGTTGGTCGTTAAGAGCATCTCCAATTCTATGGTGCATTGGAGATGATTTGGAAACACAATGGAAAAAGCATATTTGATGTATGAACCAATTTTTTTAAAAGTGATAGGGTCCATTCAAATTGTGCTCCAATGCAAGAAAAAAGTTAAAGTGACTGCACTCTCATCCAAGCCTCCAAGGTGAGACCCAAGGTCCATATATGGACCTCATGCTAGACCTTGTCCCTCTTTTGTGATCGCCAACTAAGCATGACTAGGTTCATTTTTTTTACATTGGAAACTACATTTGTAAACAAAGAGTGTATTGGCTTACGTGGAATAGCAATCCATCTCCACATTGGAGATGCCCTAAGCTACAGCTTATTACAACTCCCTAATTTAGAAAACCATTCATCGTTTAAATGAAGAACAGATCAAGAACGAACCTCAACAACACCCTCTAACCCTCTAAGCTTGATCTACTCTGATCAGGTATGGAAAGAACAAACAAAACAAGAAAATAAGAAGACAGTTAGTAATAATCGACTAACCTCAGGACATTAGACGAACGGCGTGGTGTAGACTGTGTCCGACTAAGGGGAGAAGAGGAGATGGAAGCGGAGAAAGCGATATAGCGTCCGACCGTCTGGCTGAGAGACGAGGAGATGGTAGATCGGATGAATTGGACCGGATCAAACTCTTCAGCCAATTACCTTGTCGTTTAATTTCGTAGATTTTAATAAATTTTATGTAGAGTAATGGTATTTTTAGTAGTCATTTGGTAACATTGACTTCTGTTAAATTGATTTAATCTATTAAAACTAATGAAACATTTGGGGTCTGTTTACTAACATAAATATTTTCTGTTTTTCCAAAATTTTGGAAAACTGGAGATAGAAAAATTGGAAAACGTGTTTACCTAACTGTTTTCCAAAAGAATAAAAACGAGATATGTCTCGCGTTTTTCTTCTGAATTAGAAAAACGTCATTCAGCCGTTTTCAGAGTTTAGAGAACGCGGAGCTACGGTGCTTATTTAATCGCTCGCCTTCCTCCACATACCTTCCTCCCCTTTAATGCGCTCTACCTTCCTCAGCCTTTACTACCCTCTACCTTCCTCCGCCTACCATATTTACATCCTCGCCAACCCCTGCAAAACTTGAAGATCGCACAGCTTCCCTATTAAAGTTGTTGGAAAAATGTGTTAAAAAATGCATTAAATGGCCATTTTGGGGCAATTATTTGAGTGGGGTCCACTTCCGATTTGGGTCGGGTCAAAGTGGTTTCGGATTGTCCTTGTTAAGGGCTACAATTTGATATATGGTACGCTCAAAACGGATAATGAGTGAATGAGAAATTGATTCTCGAAGTTCACTCGTTGAAATGGAAAAACTAGGAAAATGATGAGTTTCTAGTGTGTTTTATCCCACACCGAAAAACTCAAGGGATTTTCATCCCCTTATAAAGGGAAGCCTCTTTTAAGGAGTTAAGATTCCTAAGGGTAAAGGCTCTCTTTTACGCGCAGGGGGGGCGATCAAATCCCGAAACGGAGAAGAAAACCCGCGACTCGTGTGCGCGGGCGACCTGCGGACACGAATGTCGTCCGAAAACCTATCATTCAAACATACGTGTTCTTCCCGTAACGTTTTATTTTTCCCAGTGACAGAAGGGGTCGAGTTCTGTCCGCAACAGAGACCCTCGAGGCCTTCTGTTCGCAACAGAAGGTCTTCTGGTCCGTTACAACAATAAATGTCCAACGTTCTTCTCTTTTAACGCTGCGTTAAATGGACAGTTTATGGACGATTCAATGCCCAACAGATTGGTCATTGATGTCCAACGTTCAGGTCCATTAACACCCCATTTAACACACAACAAATCCTCCTATAAATAGCTGGCAGGTGCTTTGCAACAAACACACGGTTTGACAACGCACAATACATTCCTCACGAATTTCTTCAGCTAAAAACACATCGAGCTACTCTACAAATTCCTTCTGTCTTCATACTTGGTTCTCGTTCGCTGGAACTCTTGTTTGTGTGCTGAAACATTAGTTCGTAGTCATCGTATCCTGGGAAACGATTGTTGCAACGCTCCTAGCACCGTGGGAGGCAACAAATACGTTTTAAGGACATCGTGCGTAGCACGAGCTTTGACTAATTCTGCTTCATCTCCTTTCTTGTTTTTCTCTAGTCATTTTATTTAATTAATTTATTTTAATTAATTTCCTTTATTTTCCGAAACACTCCCAACATTCTTAAAACGTATTTGTTGATTGTTCTACTGTGGTAAACAATCTTAAATCGTAGTTTGTCACTTTGGTGAACGAACTTATTTTTTTGTGTTTTCGGAAAAACGTTAAAGAACGAAAATGACTTCTCAACAAAACGAGATTGGTGTTGGGCAGAATGTTTTGAACGACAATCACTCTGAAAGTGGAGCACCGGTGAACAATGGTTCACAACGCGGTGCATCTACTTTGGCCAACCAAAGGGCTATCCCTATGGTGACCGTGCCAAGCAACTCTGTGGAGAAATCCGAGAAATTCAATGAGTTAAACTTCAAGAGGTGGCAGCAAAAGATGCTCTTCTATCTCACTACTCTCGGTCTTGCGAGGTCCTTGACCGAGGATGCGCCGGTAGCAACCGGGGGTGAGGTGGATGCGCAATCTTTCAACGCGGTTGAGGCATGGAAGCATTCGGACTTCCTTTGCCGAAACTATGTGTTCAATGGGCTGCATGATGCTTTGTACGACGTATATAGCAAACTAGATACGGCTAAGGAGCTATGGAATGCTTTGGACCACAAATATAAAAGTGAGGATACCGGCGCAAAGAAATTTGTTGTTGGTCGATTCCTTGATTTTAAAATGGTGGATTCGAAGACGGTCTTGAGTCAAGTTGAGGAGATGCAAATGATCTTCAACGAAATTCGAGATGAAGGAATGACAGTTAGTGAGTCATTCCAAGTGGCGTCAATTATTCATTTATTGCCGCCGGCTTGGAAGGATTTCAAGAACTACCTTAAGCATAAGCGAAAGGAAATGAACTTGGAGCAATTGATCCTCCATCTACGGATTGAAGAGGATAACCGGAAGAACGATGGGAAACTCCCAATTGTTCATGGCGCCAAGGCAAACGTGGTGGAGCATGCAAAGGGCTCCAAAACTAAAAATAATGGGAAGAGCAAGCTCGGTCCTAAGGGAGGCGTTTCCAAGACAAAGTTCAACGGAAAATGCTTCAATTGCAATAAAAACGGACACAAGTCCGCGGATTGCAAGGCACTTAAGAAGAAGAGGGACTCTCAAGTCAACTTGGTGCAAGGTGGGCAAAAGGATGAAGACATCATCCTAGCGGCTATGGTTACGGAAGTCAACCTCGTTGGATCCAATTCCAAGGAGTGGTTTGTGGACACCGGTGCAACCCGGCATATTTGCTCAAACTGGGAGTTATTCACAACTTTTGAGCCATCAAATGGTGAGAAAGTGTGGATGGGTAACTCGGCTCATTCCGCGGTTGAAGGCGTGGGCAAGGTGGTCCTGAAGATGACTTCGGGCAAAGAGCTGACTCTCAACCAAGTGTTGTTTGTTCCGGAAATACGCAAAAACTTGATTCCCGGTTCGTTGTTGAACAAACATGGCTTTCGCATGGTTTTTGAGTCGGACAAATTAGTTTTGTCTAAATCGGGAATGTATGTGGGCAAAGGGTATGCATGTGATGGGCTGTTTAAGCTCAATGTAACGACTATTATTAATAATAATAATAAAATCCCTTCTGCTTACTTGCTTGAGTCTTCCAATGTGTGGCGTGGTAGACTAGGACATGTTAATTTTAATTCTATACGTAGATTAATTAACATGGAACACATTCCTAAATTCACAATTGATGTGAAGCACAAATGTGGAGTTTGTGTAGAGGCAAAACTAGCGAAAACGTCTTTCAAATCAGTTGAAAGAAAAATGGAACCACTTGAATTAATTCATAGTGACGTTTGTGATTTTAAATCAATACAAACACGTGGCGGTAATAAATATTTTATTACCTTTATCGATGATAGCACTCGCTATAGCTACGTTTATTTATTAAAAAATAAACACGAAGCAATCGATAAATTCATTCTTTATAAGAATGAAGTGGAAAACCAACTTAATCGACGGATTAAGACGATTAGGAGTGATCGAGGTGGTGAGTATGAAGCACCAATTGGTGACTTTTGCGTTAGTGTGGGTATAGTACACGAACGTACCACACCCTATTCACCTCAATCAAACGGTGTTGCCGAACGAAAGAATCGCACATTGAAAGATATGATGAACGCGATGCTAGTAAGTTCGGGCTTGCCACAAAATATGTGGGGCGAAGCAATCTTGACAAGCAATTACCTTTTAAATAAGGTTCCCCGGAAAAAATATGATAGAACTTCGTACGAGTTGTGGAAAGGCAGACGGCCTTCCTATCAATATTTAAAAGTGTGGGGGTGTCTTGCTAAGGTGCTTGTATCAACACCTAAGAAAATAAAAATAGGTCCAGAAACGGTGGATTGTATTTTTATTGGATATGCACAAAATAGTAGTGCGTATCGGTTTTTAGTGTACGATTCGAATAATCCGGATGTACATAAAAACACAATAATTGAATCAAGGAATACTTCATTTTTTGAAGATGTATTTCCATGCAAGTCCAACGAAGGGCCTAGCACGTCAAAACGAACATTTGACGTAGCTATGGAAAATACTAGCGAGGGATCCGGAGAAGAACCCGAACCCAGACGTAGCAAACGTGCTAGAATTGAAAAATCCTTCGGATCGGATTTTCTCACCTACCTGGCAGAATTTGACTCGGATATTCTAACATGTATGGTAGAAAATGAACCGGATTTTCTAACATGTTTGGTAGAAATTGAGCCACGGACTTATACGAAAGTCGTGACGTCTACTGAAGGTCCTATGTGGAAAGAAGCCATCAAAAGTGAGGTGGATTCTATCCTTAAAAATCACACATGAGAATTGGTTGATCTTCCTCCGGCAAATAAACCTTTGGGATCCAAGTGGATTTTTAAACGGAAAATGAAACCGGACGGTTCCATTGATAAGTATAAGGCCAGACTCGTAATCAAAGGATACAAGCAACGTGAGGACCATGATTAATTTGAAACGTATTCTCCTATGACGAGAATAAATTCCATTAGGATGATACTAGCAATTTCCGCATTGCGGAATTTGGAAGTTCATCAAATGGACGTAAAAACCGCTTTTCTAAATGGCGATATAGACGAAGAAATCTATATGGAACAGCCCGAGGGCTTTCATGTTCCAGGCCAAGAAAGGAAAGTGTGTAAATTAATTAAATCATTGTATGGATTGAAACAAGCCCCTAAACAGTGGCACGAAAAGTTCGATCATGCAATGTTAATTAATGGGTTTAAAATAAACGAAAGTGACAAATGCGTCTATGTGAAGAGCACGGTAGACGGCTATGTCAGTTTATGTTTATACGTGGATGATATACTCATCGTGGGTAGCAATATTCTAATGATTTATTCTACCAAAAGCATGTTAAATTCTAAATTTGACATGAAGGATATGGGGTTGGCCGATTTAATCCTTGGGATTAAAATAATTAGAGGACCTGACGGTCTTACGCTAAGCCAATCCCATTATGTTGATAAAATCCTTACGAATATTAATAAGGATGATTATCAAGAGGCAAGGACTCCATTAGATAAAAACGTACAACTTACCAAAAATCGTGGAGAG